GGGGGGGGGGGCGTGGGTGAAACCTGCCAGCCCAGGCCGGACGGGCCCCAGCATCACCTCGTACTCCAAACTCCCACTTGAGGAGCCCCTTAGGTAGCAGGCATGGATCCCGGGGCACTCAGTCTGGGGGATCCTGGCCTGTGACTTCACCTCCCCGAGCCTCAGTTCCTTCACCTGTACAATGGGCACAGCAGGACCACCTCACCAGGTCCTGATGCAGTTTCGATGACAATGACTACCTGTAAAGTACCCGGCAAGGGGCTGGGGGCCTGGCAGAGAAAGGGCGGCTACTGCTTATGAGATCTGAGCTACCAACTGCAGATACCTGCGGGGTGCACAGGGCAGGAACTGGAAATGAGATGTTGGGCAGCGACCAAGGGCAACTGGACCAACGCATGCCACACAGAAAGGGGCCGTCAGTCCCCAAACCAAGCTCGCAGCCTCCTTCCTGAGTGACCCTGGCTGGCCTTGAGGCAGAGCAAGTAGGGATCACCTCTGACTTCGCATGACCAAGGGGATGTCACACAGCCAGTGAGGCGCCGTATGCATTTGGCTGACGCCCACGTCAGCGAATCAGATCGTAATAAAAACACGAGCTCATGTTTAACAAGCGTCTACCAGGTGCTGTGCTAAGGGGCTCTCACACATTATAACAATTTCTGCTGCAAAACAATTACACGGGGAAGGTACCAGCTTGCAGATCAAAGAATCCAAGGCCCAGAGAGGTTAAGTAACTTGCCCAAGCTCACACAACAGTAGGCACACTAGTGGCTCCCATCCAGGGCGACATGCTAACTCCATGCACACACAGGCCTCATCTTGTTAAATAAGACAAGTGACCCACCTTCTGGATTTCCTTGAGCAGCACACCGTCTGTCATGAACTTGATCCTGGTCTCTTCCGTCACGTTCCCTTCGTAGCGGATCTGATAGGAGACAACCCTGCGGGACAGGGCAGGCGAGTCCCTCAGAGGTCTCCTGGCTGGGGCTGCAGCCCTATGGCTACTCCAAGGCGGGCAGTGGAGAAGGTCTGGCCCCAGTGGGCAGGCAGGTGGCCAAGGGCAGGGACCCCAATGTCCCCAACAAGGCGCAGGCACATTCCCGCCTGCCCACTCTCCCTGGCCAGTGTGAAGGGGAGGGTAGCCCTCATCGCGACTGTAGAGCACATCAACCGAACATGAGAGAGGACCTTGGCTGGAGCCCGACTGTCTGACCAACTATAAAATCTTTCTAGACACAGCCAGGAAAACTGGAACACAGACTGCAGGACACTGTGAGGTGAGCCCAAGGACCTGACTGCTGGCCTGTCTCAGCTCCACGCCCCCTGCCCAGGAGGGTTCCGCCGTCCAATGTACAGAAGAACCTTCTTGTACAAGGAGACCCCTGTGCTCAGACACAGACATGACCCTCCAGCCCAGCACCCTCAGGATGGACGAGGGCCTGCCACACCACTCGGATCCTCCCAGACAGCTGACCCTGGGCAAGGCCGAGGACCACCCTCCACACTGCCCCCGGGGCCCAAGCCCTCACCGTTGGGACAGGTTCATCTCCTTGGCCACACGCTGGGACATGGCCATGGCAGCCACTCGCCGGGGCTCCGTCACGCCGATGATGCTGTCGCCACTGGGGGAGGGAAGGACACAGTGCCAGGAGCTGACCAAAGTGCTCCACACGCGTTCAGCCATCTCATTGGCATGACAACCATGGGGAGCGGGAGCAATGATGTCCCCACCTCACAGCTAAGGAAACAGGCCCAGAGACATCAAGCAACTTGCCCAGAGCCACACAGCAGGCAAACGGCAGGGCCAGGACTGGGTCCCCGGGAGCCCAAGCTTGTAAGGACTTTTGGGGACAGCACCTCCACCGTCACATGGGGGCACCCACCTGCTGTAGCCTGCTTCGTAGAGGAACTGGGGTACCTGCGTGGTCTTCCCACTGCCCGTCTCACCACACACAATGACGACGGGGTGCTCAGCCACCGCCTCCATGATCACTTGCTCTTCAGAGAGAATCGGGAGCTTCAGGCGCTCTGCCTGCAGAGAGAGGAAGTTGGCGCTGGGGAATGGGGGGATCCCTTGCAGAATGGCAGAGGGATGAGGGGACTCTGCTCCAACAGAGACTATGTAGGGCAACTGGCACGTGGATGGCGCCCAGACAGCTGGGTAGGGGGGGTAGAGACGTGAGCAGGGTCCTTTAGAAGGCGAGACCCAACGTCCTCAGGGACAGCTTGGCCTGTGCGGAGCAGCCCCCCCCCCCC